ATTCCTTGGCTCAGTTGTACTTCAGCAACCCTGGGTGGTAACTACTACTATTCACACTTTTGTGTCTTTGCCATGATTAAAAAAATTAATTTGTCTATCCCAAAGTTTATACACGCTTTGGCACTATATTGTCTTCCTTGAGAGAGACACCCTTTAGGTCTTCGTGTGTCTATTTAAAATATAGATACATTTCCTCTATGTAGAAGACCAGTTGGTTATATGGCTCTCTCCTCAGATTGACTCTTGCCAAGCCATGGCTTCATGCTTTGCTGCCAACTCGAGTCGCTCTGAAAGGTTTCCCCAGTGGGACAGAAGTGGAACTGCCACAGTATTGCTTCAGCAATTGTTTCCATTTCCAAGTACACAGTGCCCTGATGCATGGTATTTTCATTATAGGATTTTAAGTAGACACACCAGTCAGCTTCCTCTACTGCTTAGCCATACAGTTAAAGAAGTACCGAGCCACAAGTCAAAGGAAAAACACTGCTGGTTACATTTTTCCTTTATAAACCTTTGCATTTTTTAAAATAAATCATTAAATGCATTTGTAAACTCAACTTCTATTGATTCCTCCTAAACAAGTGAGATTGAGTGCACTAAGGTTTTTATAAGTTATAGTCTTCATTTTGTATTCCTGTGGAATTGCCTGTTATAATTGTGACCCATGTGCTAGGTCTTTCAGAAATGGCAAATCTTTTTCTGCCAAGGACCATTTGGAAAAGATTGTCAACTTAAAATTTAGCCACCTATAGTTTTATTGGATTTCAGGTCCCACCTACAGTTGTCTGAGTAGCACGGCCCACAGGCTGGACGTTGTCTGCCACTCCAACTTTTATATGCTTAATCCATTTACTGTGTAATAAAACCGAGGCACAGAAGAATTTTTTTAATGGGCTGAAGGTAGTGTTTTCAGAAGAAGCAAAGCAGAGTGTGAACTCAGAGTCTTACTCTGAAGTCTTACTCCGAAGTTCTCATCTGAACATCCTACTGGGCAGTGTACTCTTCACATTTCATTTACTGAAGAGATTGTTAAAATTGCTAGAGGTGCTGGCACTGCCTTAGGTACCAGAACTAAGCTTTTAATGTTACAGCAACAATGATCGTTGTTCTGCAAGTAGCAACCTGTGGGGACAAATTTGTTCAAAAGATCTTCAGATCTTTGAACAGAAAGAGTAATAAGAGGTAATGTGGACATTAACAGCAAGGATTCTGCCAAACCGAGTGTCCTCTGATGGGTCGTCTTGTTGGAGAGTACACTTGTGAGCCGGTGCCCTTACAGCGCAGGGTGGAGCGCCACACCCTGCATAGCATGCAGAAAGGTAGGGTGATGATAGACGCTTGTGGCAAAATATCATAGTTTGTCAGATGACATAAAGACTGTGTTCAAGCAGTAGCACTGTGTACAATTATGATGAAAGTGTGAAAAGTACCAGCTTTCTGTACTTTTAAAAACATTTTAAACAACCTAATGTGAAATCTTAATTCAAGGAGCTCTAGAGGAAGCTAATCTATTTATATATACACGTACACCCTTTTTTTAAAAAGGCGTCTCAAACCTCAGCCGTGCCATTAACCAGAGTGATGATTCATTCATGCTCACACTGTAGTAATGATCCTCGGAATTACAAATGTACAGTTGTGTCAGATCCCAATCTGGAAGAAACATGCATTATTTGATTTGCTTTCAGAGTATTCTTTCTCGTTCAAGTTATTCACGTGGTATAACCCTCACAGCACATGTGTATAACACATGTCAAAATTTAGAGAAAAGAAGATAAGGATTTGACTGATGGAAAGCATTAAAATATTCCCCATCAAAAACATGTTTAAGACATGTAATATTCATGCATACGAATGAATTTTAGTAATTCAGGGAGATAAAATAAGCCTTTGTTTGTTTGTTTGTTTAATGAGTCCGTTCCATAGGCTCTAGAATTCCCCTCCTCCCTCTCCAGATACCTTCTCCCGCCACTGACTCCCCTCTATAAAATCAACCTTCATTAATTCCACTTTCCATGAACTTTCTGTTGTCCCCTCGTACGTACAAACATATGTCTGTGTGGTCCTGCATTCATATGCATACCTCTGTGCTGACCCACACTTCTTCAGGGGAGCCGCTTGAACTTCAAAACACAAAGACAGGAATTATCCTGTCTTGGTTACAAATCACAAATGCAGCAACTTGTAATTATCTTTTTTAAAATCTTTAAGGTTAGGGTGAAGCCATTCTAGTTCAGACTTCCCCTCTCTGTAGGCTGGGATAGTGAATTGGGATGAACCCCAAATTTCCAAACCCTGGACTAGAGATACACCCCTGTGGCGTTTCTCAGCCTTCAAGGTGCTGTTGGTGGTAAGAGTCTTTCTGTTTTTCTCTGTAAAAAGATCATGATGGAGTTCAAAGCATTTGTGTTTGGCTAGGATTTGAGGAAGAGAATATGCCAGTGTGTTGTAAGAGAGCCTTGGAGAGGATGAGTGAGGGAAGCCAGTGGACAGGAAATACCTGCCTGGTTTTTGGAGGGATTGAGAGCAGCACACACTGGAGCCCTGCACGTGGAAGGGAGCAAAGCTCCCTGCTGCTGTTCGTGGCTTCTCCCTGACCCCCCCTCTGCCACTTTGGTTCTTCCTCTTGTCTGACTTGGGTAAGCTTTCACACTTGGGAAAGCTTATCTAGTTTGTCACAGTTACCTCATTTTAAAAATCATACTCTCAAAGGAAAAGTTAAATAAAGAAGGCCTTCCCCCGCACCATCACCATTAACAGAAATGTTAATACACCTGCAAACTCGCGGTGGCGTGTGGTTGACTGATTGAAAAGGCAGAGAGATTTCTTCCACTAGTTCACTCCCCCAAATATCTGTAACAACCAAAACTGAGTCAGGCCAAAGCCAGGAGCCCAGAACTTAATTCAAAACTTTCTTCTAGTTGGTATTGACCCAGCTGCTCAAACCATCCCCTGTGCCTCAAGATGTGCATTATCAGAAAGCTGGATGAGGAATGGGGTCGGAGCTCAACTCCGACCCAGGCAGTCAGTAAGGAGTGAGGATGGGACATACCAGTGTCTTACTACATTGCAGTGTGCCCCACCCCCTGATGATGCTTTTATTCTTATTAAAGTTCTTGATATTTTATTGAGCTAAACCTTTGTCACAGTAGAAATATCCAAAACAATGAAGGAAAGAGTAAGTTGGTTCATTATAATGATGCCAAGATCAATACCATGAATAAGTAAATTAATAAGATTAAAAAGAAGTAGCACAACATCTACTGATAGGATCAAATATTTTGCATTAGTTCTGAAATCATTGATACATTTATAGAAATGTGAAACTTTCTGTGTTATCCTAGATATTATCTATTTTAGGACTGTAGTAATTTTAAAGTGTTGTTGATTGTCAGTTTTTGCTCAGAGCTGATTTCTATCTTGGTATGATCTTTAGAATTTCAGCATTTCTGCCTGCTCTGATTTAGGTCATTTTTAAACCATTTTAAACTGCCCACATCTATAAAACACAGTATATGAGAAACATTACCTACTACCTCCCCAGGAGCCCATTAGCAGGAATCTGGAATCTGGAATGAAACCAGAACTTGAATCCAGACACTCAAATATAGGATGTGGCTGTTCACCAGCAGTGGCTAAAACATAAATTCACAAAATGCTTTCTCCCCACTCCAAATTTTTGAATGAACTATTAAGTAGTAATTGGCCCTTTGTACCCTTTTAATTAATATCAAGTTAACATCATTCCCAATCTTTCAAAAAGAAAAGCTACTGCTAAACTGTTTATAATATGTTCTGTATGGTGTCAAGAGTTTGATAAAACTCAAAAGTTGTGATAAAGCTCTGTGATTTAATAGGCCATGCAAGGCAAAGTTACTACATTGCTGGCCGTGAGAAGGGAGCCAAAATGACTCCAAAGAAGGAAGAGGTTGTAACCATGGAACAAAGAAAATTGGAAAGAAATGCAATCAAAAGAACAATCAGCAGTCTGCTGAGGAGCAGTTCCAGCAAGGCGAACTGCTTGGAGCCTCGCGTCAAGACAACCTAGCATGGCCAAGCAGAGGCTGCGTTCATTAAGACAGTGGCTCAGTTGTCTGAAAGAAATGACTCCTCCTCTCCCATCGCGATCCATGTGATAGCGGTGTTTTCTTTAAAAAAAAAAAAAAAGAAAGAAAAGCAAACAGACACTTTTAGATCATAGAGTCTTTTAAAGATTTATTTGTTTGTTTGTTTGTTTTGGAAAGTCGGATATACAGAGAGGAGGAGAGACAGAGAGGAAGAACCTCCATCTGCTGACTCATTCCCCAAGCAGCCACAATGGCCAGAGCTAATTTTTAAAAAATCTTTATAGCCACTTAATTTTTAAGATGTGACATCTTATAAAAGATGTTGAAATGTAATAGTTTGCCACATAAGGAAATGTATTAGGAAGCAAAGTGTTACTGAGAGACTTTGAAACAGAAGATCTTTGTGGGTATTTAAAACACCAAAACATTGTAAGGTTCCAGGACAAAGCTAGCTCATTGAATTGGAGAAGTCAAAGCAAGATATCACCCTTATAGCGTTGTGCCATCTACTGAAGGATAGTGGATGTTAGTGTAAGTAGCTGCCCATGAACTCCTTGCACTGACTTCCCTGAAACACTGTGGCAGGAAGAGGCAGAAGAACCTTGTAAAGGAACCCCAAGGGATTCCTCCTTGTGATCCCTGGACGCCTTGAATTGTCACACCACATGAAAATAATAGAGTTTCCAAGTTCTAAGACTTAAGTGTTATTATCTTTTTTAAAAAGAAAATACCAGCTCTTTTCATATCTCTCGAAAAGAATAAGGTTTGTGTTCAGTGTGGAGAAGTGTAGCCTTAAGTCAGGTGAGAAAAAAATATATCTATACATGTATAATCTTTCATTTTAATATGTCATTACTTTCTGTGACTAAGTAATTCGCACCCAGTAGAAAAAAATATATGTAAGCAATGTTTTATTTACCCTTTTTAAAACAGATGATTCAACGAGAAGCAGATGTAAAAAGCAAAGTAACTGCCGTGGCATTGACAGACTCTGTTCACAATGTGTGGCATCAAGAAGCTGGCAAAACTGTTCGAGAATGGATGAGAGAGGTGAGACTTGACTTTTTCAGTGCTTCAATGAATTGGCATGAATCTTTCTTGTGAGCTTCCACCAATTTGGATCACCTCTCACCGCCACATCTCTTTCTAAAGCTGAAAGACTGGAAGGAAATGAAAAAAAAAGCAACTAGATGTGGCTGAAATCATCACAGCACACCCTTCAGCAGAACACACGCGTTTTAAAAGCACACCCAACCCCCTCGGATGTCTGATATAGAAGGTCTGCACGCAGTATTTATTTAGGAACTTTGCCTAAAAGTCTTGGTGTTAGGGAATCCTTATAACTAAGGTTTAGTCTTCCCATCAGCGGTTGGTGCTTCTTCATCAAAAGAAAAAGAGGTTAATATGCACTCAGTCTTGTCTTTTTCTTCTTGAAACCTGTCAGTGTTCACCACTCTCCAGTGGATTGGCTTGCTTCTGCCAGTAGGGGGAGATGAAGCTGAGAAGTTGACATATCATTGAGCCAGACCTTTGAGCTGGGAGATACCAGGAGCTGGCCAAGGTCCAGCCTCAGGCTAAGAAAACTTCTGTTCACACCTGCTAAGGACTAGTAAACCAGAAAGCTAACAAAAACTCATTGGACGTGCTCCCAGTATTGTTTTTAATTCTCAGGTCATCATTTCCTTTGTTCCTGTTATCGATGCCTTCTGAAATCTTTTCTGACATTAGGAACAACTGACATCACCCACCCCATGCTATAGTGATTGCTTAGTCAGACCATTTATTTCCATTTATGTGAATAAGCTGATTGACCTGGTTTTCTCTCAGTTTTTGTTAAAAGAAAACCCAAGTGCCCTGTCAGTCCTCTAACCATAGGACTGTGTGATGGGTAAGTGCTCATGATACAAAGTGAAGACCAGAGCGTTAATGTTTCAAGAGAACTTTGAGTTGAAAGAAGGATCCAGCTTTCTATTCCCTTGGTTGTGTTCGGATGTTATCAATCTGATGCCATTGTTGTTGTTCTCCCTTAGAGAAAGTATTTTCATCATGCAAAAAGTTTAGACTATTTTTATTCTACTACTCCTCAAGTCATAAATGTGGAAAGGCTCATTTTTACATCTGTTGTGACATACATGTTGCTTTTTGTACTTCTTCCATGGTGTGGCTGCACTCTTAGCTGCTTTTCCAAAGAATCTCAACTTTTTCATAAGAAACATTTGAATATGTCTGCCTGTATTTTAATCTATAATATACATCTGGAAAACATGAATTGGAAGCAACATATCTAAAGAAATAACACAGTTCTGGGCACTGTAAACAAATTCAGTGGTTTACTCGTGTTTTTAGTGCTGCCTTCTCTATGACACAAAAATAAATAAGATCCCTTTATAAATAATTTGCTTATTCAGACTATCATCCAAAAGGCAATGATATGCTGGCAGTAATTTGGAAGAAATCAAACCAAGTTTTGATGACTCTGGCTTAGTCACTAATTACGTAAATCAGTAATTAAGGATGCCACAGTTACTTTGCTAAAACTTACAGTCTTGGACACACCTTGGAGGTCTGTTTCGTAATTCTATATTAGAGATAATAATTCCTGTTGCATCTTATTCATGAACTGCCATGAGAACTAAGGATGTGAAGATCAGTAAGACAGCTCCTTGAAGAGTGAATTGTATTATGTAAGAAACAAGATGTACTGTAGAAAAAATGAAATATGTTGCTATAAACATTATTATTTTGACGCAGTTTTGAACTCTTGCTGCTCAGAATTGCTCTCCAAAAAGAGAAGGTATAGTGGCCTGTAACAGAGGCTGTTTGACCCAATCACGTTTGTGACCTGCAGTAGGGCAGTTTTAGTTTGGTGTCACACAAGAAAAGCCCAGTGTTGCTCCGCACTTGAGATGAAACTCCGTTCCTCTCTGTACTCCATCAGCCCTAATCCATTCTGCAGGAGTCTTGAAATGATGTAAGCAAGCAAGACTGGATTACAGGAAATAGAATGGGTGTTTGACGTGAGCATGGATGTATGGAGGAGAGTGTGGAGGGATGATTTTGTGTCCCTCTGCCTTCCACTTCTCTGCCACGTCCTCTGGGTTCATTTGGAATTAATCAAAAAACTGGGACAATTTGCAAATATCTGTCCCAAGAAAAACACCACAGGAATGTTATCTGGCTGCACAGGAGGCCTAAAGTGCTTTCATTCTCTTTGTGATTGGCTGTGTCATTCCATCAAGAACTACTTTCAAGTTTCAGATGTAAGACAGTGATACAGATTCTCCAGTAGCCCCATTAATGAACAGTGGTAACATTTATTTGCTCTGCATGCACGTTTGAACTACGTGATAAAGTTCTTGATAAAATGTTTGTTTAAAAAACTGGGTTTTTTTCACCTTCCAGGTTAGCCTATAAACAAAGATCAAGGAATATGCTTATTTTTCTTGTTTTGTGTAACTTATAATGGCAGTTTCTTTTTATTTATTATATTATAGTGCTTATTACAATATGTCACGACTTTTGTTAATACTCAACAATCCTGTAAGACATGCTTTTACATATGTGAAGTGTAAGTGAGCAGTATTAAGACTGACATATCACCTGGGGAATAGCCTACTTCCATCAGATGTGGAGGTTATTGGGAGGATGAATAATAATTAAAATATATACCTAATCGCTGCCTGTCTGTTGGCAGTGCTAATTGCTGTCAGTGAAAAGACTGAATTGTTTAAGAAAAAGATAGAGAAAGGGAAAGTCATTCTTCATTGAAGCTATCTCCCTGTATCATTGGGAGCCTATTTTTAGTACCTATAGAAGTCATGATTTTTGAATTTATTAGGGGCTGTGATGAATGATAAAACAAATCATCCATTTACATATCTTGACACTGCTTTGGAGAATACTTATTTCTTACAAGCAAGTGTCACATTGTATATAAAAGCTGGCTAATTGTGTGCTAATCTGCGTTATCTAGAACTCTCTGATGTGTATTCTATCAATGGTAATATTAATTTTACTTATTTCAAATGTATGAAATATCTTCTAAAACCCAGTCTCCTTTATAATAATATCTGCTCTGTTACATTGTGTGATTTTGCATTCAGCTGCTAATTAAGATTAGGAGCGCATATTACAGCATGTGTATCCGCTTCAAACCAATGGGCTATGTTACATGTGGAAAATACTAATATTTTAGCCATTTTAAATGTAAAGAAGAATGAAAGCATTTAAGAACACTACTTGATGTTGTGTTTGTTTTCATGTTTTTTTCCCCTGTGCAGTTCAATAGTTTCATTGATCCACTGTTTCTTACAGAAATCTGCCATGCTTTGTGAACTTCACTTTCTAATCCCATACAGCAACCCTTCCTTTATGTTGTTCCTGCTCTCCCTGGTCCCAGAACAGTGGGGTTGCCTTGACAAATCTATTCAAAAGCCATTCCTCGGCCTGTATTGGTGGGGACTGGGGCCTTTGAAATTCTCTCCTCACTGCAACACACTGACATCTTCTTCCAGACAGAATGAATTAAGGAAATACAATAAGACACTTGATCTACCAGTCAAGGATCTTTCCACAGTGAGGACGGATTCCATGGTGCACAACCAGGGCAGCAAGCATCTAAAAATATACAATACATGCTTGTTTACCAGAATAGCGATCACCGATTTTTTTCAACATGATTGATGGGATGATTTCTTTGAAAATAAAATCTGCCTGGAAATTCATTGTGTATGTGTGTCTTTGTGTGTTTGTATGTGCTAAGACATTTTTTTTTTAGATCATATGATGTTAACTACATTCTTAAAACCGCTCTTCAGCTGCAGCCTTAAAATATATTAAAGGGACATCGATTTCTTTGACTTCATTGGTCTGAATTGTAAATCATCAAATTTAAGAGGTTGATCTGTAATATTGGAGCGTCGTGTCCTCAGATTCACAGCTGCCATTCACCAGATTGTTTTTTCTTTAGAACTGCTTTCATACAGCGTGCTTTGGAACAGGTCAAAGTAAAAAACTAGAAGATTTTGAGGAGTGAACATATTTATTTCTCCTGCTTCTACACGGAATATGGTTCTGTAATACAGAGTGTAGTTAAGAAATTCACAGTGTTTTCACATCTTTAAGTAAATAATTTGTTTCACTCTAAAATTTAAAAATAGACAGTTTTTCCAGTTTTCCTTAACTATAACAATTTTGTAATGTCTTAATCATCTAACTTTCTTTTGAAAGCATATCACAGAAGATTATGTGCGTTTTTAATATCAACACAGATGTATACTGAATAGTGAAAGAGAAAGGGGCTTTTCCCCCCATGGTCATGTTAGTTGTGCATAATTACTAATTGTAATTTTAAAATATAGATGTACAGAAAATAAATTGAATGCACTTATGGTGGTTGGTTATAGAGTAAATCAAACTATCCAACCTAAATACTTGGAATTAATCTTGGTTAGGTTCCTAAAATGTTTTCTCTACTGCATTACAGAACTGTTGTAACTGGGTCTCTAGTTCTGAACCATTGGATACATCAGTGGAATCCATGCTGCCTGACTGTCCCAGAGTATCGGCAGGTATGTGTGTGATGGAAAATATATACTCTGGTATTTTGTTTTGGGTTCTTTCTTTCTTTCTTTCTTTCTTTCTTTCTTTCTTTCTTTCTTTCTTTCTTTCTTTCGCAGGGGAAGTGGCATTATGTTGTTGATGATATTTTTAAAATAACTCTATGCTACTGTGAATAGAATTTAAATTTTTTATAAAGTCTATTGCTCTGCCTTCAGTTGTTGAATGCATCGTTGGTAGTATGTGCTGTGCACTACCAAATATTTGTTTAGTAGTTTAAAATGCTCAACAATAAACTCATTGAGTTAAACAGGTGACAGTTCAAGAGTAACACATGAAATTGCTATTGGAGCTTATGGAGAGGCACTATACATGCATAAGGTCCTAAAAGGTGAGGCTTGAGTGACCAAATATTATCTTTCACTGGAAATTGAGACTGCTGTATAACCTAGAGTCTTCTAAAAAAGTTTTCGGCTTGTACAGATTTTAGCCAGAATGTGTATGTTAATATTTAGATTGTGGAAAGACAGGTAAGGTGGCATCATTATCATTATCAGCAAAAGAAACAGAGCAAGGCATGCTCCCAGCCCGATATCATGTGTGCCAAGGGGTGCCATGGCCCTGCTTGGCATGATCTAAAGTCAGTCCCCAGCCTGTGCAAGTGCCAGCAGGTGCTGCAACAGGTACTCCTCCCAGCCCTGGTTCCAAGTGTCAGTGAGTTCCAGCATCTAACCTGGCTTCCTCTGTCACAGCCCCCAGTTCTCACGTATATTAGTAAGTGTTATAGTCCCAAAAGAGGTGAGCCCACAAATCCCTACAAAATTTGCCTACGGATCTGGTTTTCTCACATTCCAGCGTGTCTTACATACCTGCCTGATATGGTCCTTCCCCATCTCTAAACACTCATAGGCTGGTACTGTGGCCTAGCCTAGTCAGGCATGCCAGCAGTCCTAGTTTTTATATGCACCAGTGGGTGGCTGCTTAGCCCAGCACAGGACTCCCATGTGAGTGAGTGCATTGACCTGGCCCAGACATGCCTTCCAGTTCCCTGCACCCCCCCAAACCACCCAGTCTCACCTGCCTGTGAGTGCAATGGTCCATGGAGGCCCCAGAGATCATTCCTCGCCTGTCAAACATGCCCTCAGTGTCCCGCACTCCAGCATGGTTTCAGACACCCTTCCCCAAGCAAACTGCTTCCTTCCCACTGCCAAGTGGCATGCAGCATGCCTCGGGGGGAGGATGGCACATCCTGGCCTGATACCCCCCACCTTCCCACATATGCTTAAAAAGGAAAAAAAAAAATAAGCTAGGCAAAAATAAACTGGCAAACTGGAGTAATTAATGCAGTTTGGGCATTAACCAAGCACAGAATACTCACCAGCTATTGGCTGCTTTTCTACAAGCTGTGTAACACTTGCCTAGGCACAGGGCAATCTAGGCATTTGGTTGATTCTTTTAGCAATTGTGAATAGTGTTGCAAAGAGCATGAGATTGAAGCAGACTATTTTTGTATGCTGATTTTATTGCCTTGGCTATCTTCCCAGGAGTAGGACAACTGAATCGTATGGGTAGATCCGTTTTAAATTTTTGAAGAACCTCTATGCACGCTGCTTCATAAGGGCTATACTAGCTTAAATCTCTGACAACAGTAAGGGTATCTTTTCTCCGCACTTTTTTTTTAGAAGCCAGTATTTATTTATTTGTTTGTTTATTGGTGGTTGTTGTTATTGTTCATAGCCGCCCTAACTAGAGTGAGTTGGTATCTCATTTTGCTTTTGATTAACATTTTCCTAATGACAGTGAGGTTGAGCATTTTTCTTGTGTTTATTGTTCTCTTTTTTTCTTTTAAGAAATGTCTGTTCAGACCTTTTGCCTGCTAAATACTTGAACTCCATAAATGTGGGGCTGATGCTATGGTTTAGCCAGTTAAGCCAACACCTGTAATGCCAATACAGTTTGTGTCCCAGCTGTTCCATCTATGATCCAGCTTGATACTAATTGCCTGGGAAAAGAAACAGAATGTCTCAAGTGCCTGGGCTCTGCCACTCCTGTGGGGGATCAAGATGAAACTCCTGACTCTTGGTTTCAGCCTAGTCCAGCCCTGGTCATCACAAACATTTGGGAAGTGAGACAATGGACAAAAGCTTGATCGTTTCTCTTTCTCTCTCTCTCTCTCTCTCTCTCTCTCTCTCTCTCTCTCTCTCTTTCCTCTGTCACTCTTTCAAATAAATAAATATTAAATAGACTCCAAAATGTATCCCCCATGCCAAAAAAAAAAATCCCTTTTGTATCAACCCAACAAGAAACATGTAAGAAAAGGAATTCTGGGAAGTACAGTTCAGTTTAGCCAAATGACACATTAAAAAGCTGCCATAGTTCACGCCTTGCCAAGTTGGCACTCATTTAGCTCTCCTTAGAACAGATTTAATCTCCCAATAAAGTCATCCATTTCCTAACATGATACAGCTGTCCCACATCCAACTGAACACATACTTACCCTTTTGCCAGAACAGAGTGCAAAGTCCCTATTGTTCTTGCCTGATATTCATTTCTCTCACCTTTGGTATATTATAATTTTTAAATATTTCATTGGAAAGTCAGATATATACAGAGAGGAGGAGAGACAGAGAGGAAGCTCTTTCATCTGTTGATCCACTCTCCAAGTGGCTACAACAGTTGTTGCTGCGCCGGACCGAAGCCAAGAACCCTGAGCCTCTTCCTGGTCTCCTACACAGATACAGGGTCCCAAGGCTTTGGGCCGTTCTCCACTGCTTTCCCAAGCCACAAGCAGGGAGCTGCATGGGAAGCAGGGCCACTGGGATTAGAACTGGTGCCGTATAGGATCCCGGTGTGCACAAGGTGAGGACCCCATGCTATGCCGGGTCCAGAATATTGTAATTTAAATACTGAAAGATACAGTGGTTACAATATTACATAAGATGATGAGGTAATAAGGGAGATGTTGAAAACAAAAATAGTATAAACTATTCATATCAAAATAAGGAAAAATACTATTGTAGCCCTTATTTTTACATCTGATCACCTAGTTGCAGCTTGTCTTTATAATTGTCTTCTTCCGCTATCCATTCAGCATTTCCCTTTGTTAAACCAATTTCTGGCTAAGAGTCTTTTCTTGGTAAAAAATGACCCACACCTTCATGCTTGAACGAACTGGACCATTAGCAGCCATGCCTCAGTTGGCATACTGTGCCATTGACTGCAATTACAGAGGTCACTGGCAGGCATTCTAGAACATTTTTCTACATTATAAATATATTCTTCCTTACCCTCACTGTATAATGGCAACTCGATCTTTCTTTGAAATCACAATCCATTAACCACCTATTATGGCAACACTGGTTCCTGTTGACTCAGTGGCATAGAAACCCAATGTGGCAGAGATAGCGGTCTCAGCTTCCGAATTCCCAATTCATTCTTATGTCTCCTGAAGAAAATATTTCTCGCCTTTGAAGCAACACCTTTAGATCAGCAGAGCCTCAAGTCAGAGAATGGGAACAGTAGTTTTGCTGGGTTAGGCTAAAGCACACCATGCAGTAAATGTCAGTTTAGAACAGATTCCGTATCCTAGAAGAAGGTGTCCTAGCCCTGCAGCAGTTGCTATCCAGCAGATACTACACTGAATCTTCAAGCCTGATGCGTAGGAGTGCTCATCGACACAGGGGATGCTGGCAGACCTCAGGTCTTTGGCTGTGCTCTCAACCTGCTCTAGTGGAAGCCAGCTGCCATTCGTAAGCTGCTCCGTGGAAGGGCCAGGTACCACTAAGGACCTGATTTCTGCCAACAGGCGCATGAATGACATTGGATGGGTATTCTCTGCCAGAGCAGAGCCCGAGATGACTGCAGCCCCAGCCAACAAATTGATTAAGGCTCCCCGAGAGACCTTGAACCAGAGTCACCCCGCTTGGATTCACAAAAGCTGTGAGGTGATGCATGTGTTGTTTTAAGCTGCCAAGTTTTGGGTTGATTCCTTCCACAATAGTAGATAGCAGATAACAGGTTTAAGCTTCCAATTCTAGTTGAGAGTAAAAGCATATATGGCTCATCCGAGCTCTTTCTAAAAGATGCTTCAAATCTCACTGAAGACCATGTCTACTTTGCTTCCTCACAATGTGATTAGAATTTGCTGAGAAAGATCTTTTTTTTTTTTTACCATATCCACTTTATCTTATTCTGTCATGTTTATTATTCAGCTTTTCTCGAAGTAACTTTTTTTGCCTTAGGACAGAACTTGCTACTCTGTGTAATAACCTCCTATTCCCTCTTGGTCTTCATCTTAACAGACTTAACAGATGAGAGAAGGATTTCACATACACTCCCAGCACATGTCTATTTATTCCTCGTGTTGTTTTTGAGTGCTTACTATATTCCAGAAACTCTTCTGGAAGCTGATGATGTAGCAGAGCTTATCATGTATGGTTTGTTCGTAGAAATTAAAATAAGAAGTATTCTTCCTTGGTCCTATGCTGGTGGGTAGATTCTACCATTTGAAAGGTTAGTTTGCATCACACAATAAAAGAGGGTTAGCACAATTTCCACATCTGCTTATAAAAATGAAATGGTTTTTCAGTGAAAAGCTGTGGTTTCTCCCCCCGCAAAAAAAAATCCTTTAAAATACTGAGCAAGGAATCTGATCATATCAGAGGGTTAACTTACTAAATGCATGAAAGAAAGGAACAAGAAGGCAAATGTAATAGACTGAGCTGGCTGTGATGATAAAATAAACATGTGAGATTGATGGCGTCGACTGGGCTGGTGGCAGTGGGAATGGGAACGGGAGGTGAGCTCTGACAAATATCACCTGGGAGTCATCCACACTCCTTGATGGGCAAGACATGGAGTAAAGGAGGCTACGGAAAGGCAGGAGGCCAGAGGAGCTCCAAGGTAAGTGGCTGAGATGGTGAAATTGTCATTCCTGGAGGGGAAAGTCAGTTAAAGACAGGAGACAATGAAATTGTTCTATGACCCATTTCATTGAGGTGGAGCAGGAAATTAAAATTTGAATAAAGAAAAAGTGTTGAAATACCTCTGAAACATCTGGATTTCTCTGATCATTAATTCTGCTATTTATAATTTAAAATGTTAATATTATTTGAAGATTTGAACATGCACTGACCAGAAATTTGTAATGGATATGTGGGATAAGTGTTCAAGATTATCAGGTTTATGAAGTCTTTTTTCTTTTCCAGCTTGCTAAATTATAAAACCTTTGTCTTAAGTTATGATATGCTTATATCTTTTTATCGCAAGTTTCTCAGGGTTAACAGTGAAATTACTTATAGAAACACATGCTCATTTATTGTTAAACTTTACCCTTTATAACTAAATCTATTTCTCTTTATTTAAAAAACTCATAAATTCATTTTATATGAGTGTTATTTACTTGCATATATTTAATTTAAAAGCAGGTCCCAATCATTTTTTAAGGTTTATTTTATTTTTATTGGAAAATCAGATATTACAGAGAGAAGGAAAGACAGAGAGAAAGATTTCCAACCACTGATTCACTCACCAAGTGCCCGAAACAGCCAGAGCTGAGCCGATCTGGAGCCAGGAGCAGGAGACTTTCCTCCAGGTCTGCCACGCGGGTACAGGATGCCAAGGCTTTGGGCCATTCTCGACTGCCTTCCCAGGCCACAAACAGGGAGTCGATGGAAAGCCAGGCCGCCAGGACATGAACTGGCACCCATATGGGATCCTGGCGAGTGCATGGTGAGAACTTGAGCTGCTAGGCTACTGTGCTGGGCCCTCCAATAATTTTTTAAATCTCTTTAAGATATTGATAATTATTTTCAATAGTCATATTCAGTTAATTTTGGATATATCTTTTTTTTAAGCATTTATCTGATTTGAAAGGTAAGGTTACAAAGGGAAAGAGGCATGGGAGTTGGGAAAGAGAACTTTGTTCGTTCAGTCCCCAAATGGCCACAGCAGCAAAGGCTGGGGCATGTCGAAGCCAGGAGTCTCAGACTCTGTCTGGGTCTCCCACATGGCCAGGAGACCAAACACTTGGGCCATCTTCCACTTCTTTCACAGGCATGTTAGCAGGGACCTGGATTGGAAAAGGATTAACCTGGTCCAGAGGTTGTCATTTCTGTTAGGTGCATTTACGTGTAGTGTAATGGAAACTGTGCGTCTTTTACTCTACAGTGAGAGCAGGGTAAAAATTGGAACAGAGAGGACCATGATTGCACCCTGACCAGAGTGAACAGTGCAAGGTTATCTTCTGAGAGCTCTACCAATGAATTACATCAAATCTGTTCTGTTGATATTAATAAAAATAAAAAAGAATGTCCCCACAGCCTTTCTCCACCAGTAAGGGCAAACACAGTTAAAAAGGTTGCTTAATCCTGCCTGGCATAATAGTACCTCTGTCTGTTTCTGACTATCTCTAAATATTCCTGACCCAAAACAAGCTGCCTCTCAGGTCTGCCAACTCAGCTCAGCCCTTCTGGCTGCCTGATCCACAGAGGTGAAATCTCTTTAGGCGCTGGTGAAGGTTGTCAGGTGTTTGTACTTACCATTATTGAAACACAGGAAGCTCATAGCTAAGAAATACCCAAGATCCATCGAGAAAGGCTCAGGGGCTCTTTCTCAGCAGAAGGCCTTTGCAAAGTTTCTAACTATGCAGTTCTGCTGTATATTTGTCCTGAGTGCTATTCCTGAGAAATTGGGTTGTGGAAGAGTCATGTTTTAAAATAATAAAAGGAATGACAACAAACAGAAGTAATGGCAACGGCCTGCCCAGTTTCACAGTGGGTTAAACTGTCATTTGCAATGCCAACACCCCATAAGGGATTACCAGTTCAAGCCCCAGCTGCTCCATTTCCAGTGCAGTCCAGCTTCCTGCTAATAGTCCTATGGAGGAGACCAGGATGGAGACGTGTATCTGTCCATCCATCTCTCCAGCACATCTCTCCATCCATTCCTCCATCCATCCATCATCTGTCTTTTCTTTTTTGTGCCTCTGAATTTCAAATAAATGTCTTATTTTTAAAAATAAAAGTAATGACAAAATTTTAATATTGTTAATCTGAAGTCATGGAAATCCAGGAGATTGTTTGTTGGCAGCACAGGTAGATTCCGGCTTTTCCGAATGTATTTTATAAGAGTAAAAACACCCTTTATTGTGCTGTTGTTTGCAAATAGCTATCATTTCACCCATGTGCTTGTTCCCTGTCGTCTCCTATGCAGAGCAGTTATGAAAATAATCTCATATGCCAAAAAAATCTTACTTAGTTACCACTCTGATTTGATTATCTCTTTTTCCATGTTCCCATAACTTTAATGTTCTAGTTGTTTATGCCTGGCCCACTTTCCTTAACTGTATAACACACCTTTTATATCTTAAATGGCCTTAGGAGTTGAATACTTGCAGATCCTCATAAAGGATTTACAGTATAATCATTTCAGTATATTTTGAGGTACTTTCCCGTGAACCACATGGTTGTAATGTGTGATGTTAACTTTCTCACTCTGAGGTGGGAGGCATCTTTTCTGATAGTACTTGGCTGCCAGAGTTTTCCTGGATTCCTGACTTGACTTCCTAGATGCAGGGAGGGACTTGCCAGTGACTTAGTCTGTGGAGCTTGTCCCCTGCATGTGCCTTTGTCTTCCTTCTTAACTAATAGAGTGTGAAAGTGCTGCACTGCCCTTCAGAGTGGCAGCACCTGTTACACTACGCCCGCCTGGACAGTGCTAGCTAATGAGGTGCCCTACAGAGCCAGGGAGACAACAAAAAGCAACACCCCACCTAGCCCACCTTGCCTGCTCTATCTAGTGGGGGCATCCAAAAAGGTTGTTTTTGGTGCTTTTTTTTCTTTAGACTTTACTAGAAAAAGGGCACTTCTGATATACTCTTGAGTGATTGAGCAAAGCCCTGTCCCTCTTTGGAATTTAAGTAGCCAACTGAATATCTGATGCACAGAATGACATTAAGCCAAAGGCGAATTCACTCTCACATCCAGTGTTTTTTACCCTTGCTATACTGAGAGCACTGTGGATTAGGACATTTTGTGGCATCTAAGCACAACGTGAGTGGTTTCTAGAATATTCTTTGGGGAGGTTGTTCTTGTCTCCTATTTGGAAAGCTCAAATTGTTTAGGAAATAAATATATCTAAGAGGGAAGGGCACATATTCAGAGGGGAAGGGAGGGTCGCTGCAGACTCCAGGCTTCCCAGAAACGTGAGACTTGAACGAAGCCTTCAAGGATGTGTGTTCCCAGCTCTGCCTCCCACCTGTTCCTGCTTTGCACCTTTAGTGGAAACTGGCTGTTGGTTTTTACCTCCTTAGAAAAGAAAGTACGCAAGAACCAAATTACAAATCCTGAGATTTTGAACATTTATACTGAGAACAACTTTTTCCGAAAAACCACTCTATTCCAATGATCCTAAGAACAGAAAAGTCCTAAGTTCACTTCGGGTGAGGGAGCTGTGCTGTTCTCCCAACAATTTCTCTTCTCACCTAGATAACAAATACACAGAGGCCTGATACAGGTGCCTTTCCTCTTTCTGCTTTGTAATTCCCTGCGGACAAGACCAGTCTGGTCCTTACATTGTAATCTGATCACTTCCCACTGGGGTCCCAGTATTTGCTGGTGGTGATGTGTTAGTCTTTGCAGCACCCCAGCCCAAGCAGCCCTGGTTGTCTTGCGCCTTCCCCTCAGCTGCCATCCCTCTACTGCTGCCCTGAGGTGCACTCCCATCACCCTGTTCCATAGCACTTCAAACATACTTTTAAGGAGATACCAGGCCTTTCCTTAAGAAAGCGGGTTTTCCTCCGTGACAGCACCACATGCATAACCTGGGGAGTATGTGCATGGGTACATCCCTGGGGCCAGGCACAATACAGCAAGTTAATATAGCCTCATTTTAAAAAATTTAATATATTTTGTTAGCTATTATATCTCTACCTCAGTTTGTCCAAAAACCTGCTTTGATTCTCTGGAGCTCACTTTTATCCAATTTGCTGAAACTTTTTTTTTTTAATTTATTTTATTTGAAACAGTTATAGAGACAAAGAAGGAGAGACAGAGAGAAGGATCCTCCATCCACTGGGACACTCCCTAAATGGCTCAACAGCCTGAAGCTAGGAGCCAGGATTTTCTTCCAGGTCTCCCATGTATGTGCATAGTCCCAAGGCTTTTATAGGCCATCCTCCACTGCTCTCCCAGGGCATAAACAGGGAGCTGGATCAGAAGTTGAGCAGCCTGGGCACAAACCACAAACACAAACCACAAACAGTGCCCATATGGGATGATGGCACTGCAGGCAGCTGATTAGCATGCATTGCTCTGTGTGGCCCATGCTGAAAACATACTTAGAGAACTGTTATTAACAGTAAATTTGTAATAAACTTTCTGAGGTTTTTCATGAACTTTTTGAAGTTCATACATATGTTTACTTACTGTCTCTTGTATGCCTCTGTGTGATCAACTTTCACTCTGCTTAGAAGATACTGGTTGCTTTATTATTTTGAAGGAAAAAAAAGTATCATATAAGTATACTTGGAATAAAAAGGTATCAACAAAACTATTCTCAAGTGCAATTTATATATTGTAAGCTCTTTTTCTTTTTCATAGACCATGATATTGAAACCTAGTTCAAAGCAAATATGGAGGAAATCTGTTCACCATTAATGCCATAGTTTCCTTTACCAAATATTAAAAAAAATGCCTTGCCTCACCACTTGGTACCAGATTTGTACTGAGGATTGGACACTGAGCAACAGCAAGGACACTGCTCAAGGCCAGCACACAGCCTGGCAGGGGGTGCAGTGAAGATACAGACAACAGACAATTAACCAGACACAGCCCATAGGGTGGCACTTTATTTCCGCATTCTTCTCCCTCTCTCCATTGCCTTAAGGTCATACCTGTGACCTTGTTACTCATCATTTTGACTTGGGTTAAACTTCAAGGCACTATTCCCCTCTACAAAGAAGTATTTAAGGGCTTTATTCTAGTACAAGAGTGACAAGATGGTGAGACTACTGGGAAGATCCAGTTTCTCACAGTTAAAAGGGAATTAAACGGGCTTCACTTATGAAATTGTGAAGGCAAGAATCCATTCAGTCACTTGGCAAGCATAAATTGAGTGCTGCATCAGTAAGGATTCTGTTATGTTCTAGGATTTAAAACTCCTACATGCATGTCTCGCATATCTCATAGCCTAGGTGAAGAGTCAAAGAACAAATCTTACCAATAATATGATAGTAAAAGCTTATATAAAGTCCAAGAAGTGTACCACCGAAACAGTATATAAAGTCTGTCTTGCCTAGAGGGAAGACTTACACAAAGTAGATGCAAATTGAGTCCTGAAAGTGAGTGGGAGTGGGGGAAGGTGTTTAGCCTAGCAGTTGAGCACTGATTGAGACACCCATGAATCAGGCTTTGGGTTCCAACATCTGGCTCTGCTCCTGCCTCCAGCTTCCCACTGCTGCAGACTCTGCTTGGCAACAGTGACGCCTCCAGGAACTGGGTTCCCGCTGCTCTCATGAGAAACCTGCATTTATTTGGGGGCGGGGGGGGGATGGGGAGAAGAGGCAGTTGAATTTGGTTTCAGCTAAGAGCCTTTGCAAGCTTTGTCATGGTAAACTGATAAGAGAATTTTCTTTTTCTTCCTCTGAAAAGAAATAATTTTAAAAATTATAATAAATGAAGGTAACTGAAAGTTCCTCATGCTTTCATTACTTATCAATGGCGACCATGTAGCTTGTATGTGCCAGCCTACTCAGTGAGGTCCCTGCCCTCTCTTCAGAGGGGAAACAGACTTGCAGATAGACAAAGAAATATTAGAGGTTGGTACATGTTATGCCAGAAAGGAATGTGGGTTAAGGAAAAATGGTTGCTGTTTTAAACAAAATGCTCAAGGAACGCCCTCCTTGATTAGAGAATATTTGAGTGTAATCCTGAATGATAAAGAATAATGAGATGAAGAAGCAGAGAGAAGCCATCCCAGACAGAATGCGTAAAAATTTGCCATCTCCAGGACATGAAGCAAGATGGGCTGAGGGTGGATGAAGCTGAAGAGAAGGAAGAAGCCAAAAGGTAAAAAGCGGCAGGTCCCATGCCCAGGCATTTGAATGCCCGCATTGCTGGTTGAGAGACCAGAGTTTACATTTTGAAGATATTTTTAAGATAAAACTAGTGTGCTGAGATTTTTCTTTGCTTGCATTGTGTTTAGCTTTTTGGAAGTTTTACCTTCAGCAGCATCATGCAAGATGAACTTAAAGGAGTAGTACAGTCAGTTATGAGGTTGCTGGGATACAGGGCATCCGAGAAGTTACAGGGCCTAAATCAAAACAGTGAATGAGGTTAGGGAGGAGACGGTAGGATTTGTACGTCTTAGGAGGCCCAGTGTGTAAGATCCCATCCAATGCCCTCTGTAGGATGGGGGCAGTCGAAAACAGCCCTACAGTTTAAGCCTGGGTGACTAGGTGGACCATGATACTGTAGGCTCCCAGAGGAGAGGCAGGTTTAGAAAGAAGCACAGAAAATAATTCTAGTTCATGGCTATGGAAAATACAGAGAAGGAAATTAAAAGTCAGAGCTGATATGCCAGCTGCATTAGCTAACAAGAAAGAGTAAGGTGAGGGGTGAACATTATCACGTATTGCGTTGAAGTTCCTTAAGTTGAAGATCTTTAAAAGGACACTGGATTTGCCCATCAGAAGGTTTACCAGTGAGTTCAAGCATGGGTTCAGTAGATTTGGCTGGAGCCAGAGCCATCTGGTAGCTGAGCTAAAGGATGAAAGGCTAAAACGGTGGGATTGCCCAGCGAAGGCCAGGTGTTCCTCCCCCATTATAAGCTTTGAACCCAAGGTCAGTCTAGTCCTCTCTTCCCCCTCCCTTCTTCCCTGTCCTTGCTCAGAGCGTGTGACTGGAAGCTGAGTTGGAGCCATGAAAGGGGCGTTTGGACAAAATAAGATCCAAGAGTCCCAAGTGGGAGAGTTGCTGTGGGTGGTGGGGTCTCATGGCTCTTGGTGAGTCAGCCGCCGCTGATAGGGACAGCAGTTGAGGCTGGACTGGCACCCTGCCTCCAGAGGAACAGCTGACACTCATAGTTGTCTGTTGGGTGAGGAATGTCTGGACCAGAAAGCTGTGGCAGGACAGGTGGCCGACGACTGATGGGGAATAGAGCGAGGTCAGAAGCTGCCTGCAGAAGCAGTGGAAGATCGCAGGTTGGTAAGTTGGTATTTACTAGAAAGGCAGACATGCCTAGGTTTCTCTGGACACAGAGAATAAACCTGTATGGAGACTGCTGGCCGAACTGAGGAGCAGCCCCAGCATTCAGTGGCATACAGGTGTGTAGTGTCTGTGAAGGCAGAGTGTATGGCTCGGGGGGGCCATGAGTTCCCCAAGGACTGCGAGTGAACACCCAAATGAAAACCAGAGTTCTATTCAGGCAGAGGATGGGGGAAATGACCAAGGGACTCCTGATAACTTAGAAGTGCAGTGCCCAAGAGGCAGGCTTTGTTGCGGCTGGGTTTTGCCAGGGCTGCCCACCTCCACCCAAGCACACCTATGCCCTGTTCTTTGGCCGGCAACGCTGTCTCCGCCCGCTGGGGGGCGGGGCTGGAGGGCGAGACTGGTGGCTCGAGAGCCATCAGTTCCTACCAGACTCCGCTGGAGTGCCATCCTGCCCATGGCTGGACACAGGCCCTCAAACTTGTGCCCCCTCCTGGGCATTAGCGGGGACAGCCCCGGAGGGCCAGTGCCTGTGCGACTTGACACTCCGACCTGGGTGGGCACCCAGTCGTGCCCTGGCAGCCTGGTGATCTGGCCAGAGGTCGTGCCGACAATTGGGCCAGGAATCTGCCCAGGCCCTAAGGTTTGGGGAGTGCCGCTGGGCCACCCATCCTACGAATTATGGGGCCAGGTGGCTCACTCCAGGCTTGGAGCTGGTGAGGCAGGGACCCACTTTTGGAGCTCCCCAGAGGGCACCTGCGCGGGACCCTACTTCGCCCTGCGGGTCATCCCTAACTTGGCGCTGCCAGAGGACATCTCAGCCATTGAGAAAGAGGTGAAGCAGCTGGCCAACGAGCTGAGGGAGAAGAGACTGACCCTGGGCTATTCGCAGGCCGACGTGGGGTTGGCCGTGGGAGCGCTGTGTGGGAAGGTGCTCAGCCAGACCACCATCTGCCGCTTCGAGGCTCAGCAGCTGAGCCTCGCCAACATGTGGAAGCTGCAACCACTGCTGAAAATGTGGCTGCAGGAGGTGGATGAGAAGAACCTTCTCGGCTTATGCAAAATGGAGATGATCCTGCAGCAGAGCCGGAAGCGGAGATGTGTCAGCAGGGAGAAACGGATCAGAAACCACCTGGAGAGATTCTTCCTGCAGTGCCCCAAGCCCACGGCCCAGCAGATCAGCCGCCTCGCAGGCCACCTTCGGCTGCAGCAGGACGTGGTCCGGGTGTGGTTCCTTAATCGGAGCAGGATGAGCAGTGGGCCCAGCAGCGAGGCCTTGGCTCAGGAGGCTGTGGTGGCCGCCAGGCCTCCTTTCCCAGTCCCTCCCGTGGGCTTCCCGCTGTGCCCTGGGCTCCATTTTGAGCTCCCTCTCTCTGGGGGGTGCTGTTTGACACCTCTCTACTCCCCTGGCCCTGTGCCCACGGGGATGGCTCTCCTGCCGGCCCCCATCGCCACCGTGGGCCTTCCCAGACTTTCCAACTAAGGAGCTGCCTCTCCAGGAAGGTCAGGGACACCGCACTGGGCAGCTGACTCTCGTTTCAGCATTAAGTTCACGAGTACAAGTTAGGAGAGCTTGGTGGGGATGAGGATGGGAGTTTAAGAACAGGGAGGAGGGAAGTTGGAGCTGTTGCTTTGTGCTTCTCCCTAGCATTGCTTGTAAAGTATAGTCACCGTGTATAGCTAAATGGTTCTACTATTTTGTTTCTCTTTGTTGTTGTTAATTGAAGATTCATTATGTCTATTATTCTTTGTGGTTAGCAGTGAACAATAGGGTGTTTTTTTTTCTTTATGAACAAAATATAAAATGAAAAACTCAAGCCACCAAAGATTGGACCAGTTTTTGTTAAACACACACACAACAGAATGTTGTGTAAACACAAACACAAAGCCAGGGCAGTAGTTTCTTCCCGAGGAGGCTGAGAATGGGAAGGAAAGGAGACCACAGGCGCCCACCTGCCTATGCCTCTCAGACACAGCCTTCAGGGTCCCAGCTAGGGTGGGGGTCTCAGTCAGCTCTGTCCCCCCGCGCCGTGGAGTGGGGCATTTCCTTGTGCTGCTATCCTCATTCTAGTCTACACTGCAGTCCAGCCCAGCTCCAGTTAGCTTTTCTGTGTGTCAGTTCCATTAGATTTGTCCCCTAGGAATTGTCTTACTCCCCTTGGAGGTCAGGTGTGCTTTTGAGAGGGTGTTTGTGATGGTGATCCAGCACTTCTTAAAATCGTTTTCTAGCCTCTTCTCTGTGTTGGTTCTTTCTTATTTTCTATTCATACTGTGGTCAGTTTTGGCCATCACATACTCACTGGAAACAAATCCTGTCTTCAGATCTGCTGCCATGCACTTCTGCACACCATGTTACTTATTAATTCCATTGCTAGGTGTTAGTATCCGAGTTTATGTCTTTTTTATGCTTAGTTAGCTTGTCATTTTTGCTTTCTCTTTTTCTTTAATTAGTCTTACAAAAGATTTCTCAAAGGGTCTTTTTTTAAGAATAAGCATTTTGGGGTAAGTATGGTGGCATAGCAGGTCCATCCTCCACCTGTGGCACCAGGATCCCATGTAGGCATTTGTTTCTAGTTCTGGCTGCTCCACTTTTTTCCACCTTATGTCCTGGGAAATCATCTGAGAATGTCTAAAGACCTTGGGATCCTGCACCCACCGGGAGACCTGGGAAGAAGTTACTGCCTTCTAGCTTTGAGTCAACTCAGCCCCAGCTGTTAAGACCAGTTTGAGAGTGAAGTAACATTCGGAAGATACTCTCTCTCTCTCTCTCTCTCTCTCTCTCTCTCTCTCCCCTTCTCTGAAAATCTGCCTTTCAAATAAAAATTAGTAAATCTCTTTTTAAAAAGATTAAGCCTCTTGATTTTTATCACTCATCAATTTTAGCTTTTATTTTTAATAATTGTTTTTTCCTAGTTTCTTTTACTGTTCCTTTTCTCGTGTGGGTGAGTACTTTGTCTGTCTGTTGTTTTGCTTTGTTTTGTTTTACCAGTAGCAAATCAAAACCACAATGAGTACCACTTCACAGCTACTAGGATGTCTGTTTTTTTAAGAATGAGGCTAACAAGCAGGTGCAAGGAATGGAGAAATTGGAACCTTTCTATTTTCCTTATGACTAATGATGATTGGCATATTGTCTCATTGTATGTCTTCTTTGAAGAAATATCTGTTCAAGTCCTTTAGCCATTTGAACAATTGAGTTTTCTTTCCTCTATATCTTCTGAATATCAGACCTTTACCGGATGTAGGATTCATGTTTTCCACCTTTCTGCAGGTTGTTTTATGTTAGTCCCTCGACAAGGTCCCGTCATGCACAGATTTTTTTTCATTTTGATTAGACAGATTTATTGCTTTTTCCTTTTGTTGCTTGTGCTTTTAGTGTCACCAAATCCGAGTTCATGAGAATTTGCTCCTAGGAACTTCTGTGAATATTGTAGTTTTATCTCTGTTATTTCCATCTTTTTCCCATCTTGAGTTACTGTGTATAGCGTAGGATCAGCTGCGTTCTTTGGCATGTACCATCCGCTTTCCCAGCAGCATTTGTTAGGGAGAATATTGTTACTCTTGACAACCTTAGCAAGAAGCAGTTGGCAATAGGTGCTAGAGATTATCTCTGATTCTCAACTCTCCATCCACCAATCTAAGTCTGTCCTTTTATGAATGACACATTTTCTGACTACTAAAGCTTCGTAGTCAGTTTTGAAATTGGGAATTGTTAATCTTCTAGTTTTACTCTTCTTTTTCAGTAAGACTGAACCATCCTGGTCACTTGAAATTCTTTATGAATTCTACTATCATTTTTTCCCATTTCTTCCACAAGCATCACTAGAATTGTGTTGGGGTTTGCCTTGCATCTGCATATTGTTCTGGAGTACATTCTAATCTAAACAGTCTCTCACCTCATGTACAGAAGATATCTTTCCATATATATCTTGTTATGTTTCTTTGAGCAGTGTTTTATAATGTTTGGTGTACAAGCCTTGCACTCCCTTGTTTGATTTTATCACTGGGTATTTTTGCCTATTTCTAATAGAAACAGAATTATTTTTCTTAATTTTCTTTTTAGATTGTTAGAGTATACAAATGGAACTAAAATTTTTCTATGCTACTATATACTGCAACTTTGTTAATTTAGTTTCAAAAGATCTTTTTTGTACATTATTCAGTGTTTTATACATAAAAACTGATGTCATCTGTGAATAGAAATAGTTTCCTTTTGTCATTTTAGTTTCAATGCCCTTTTTCTCTCCTGATTGCCCTGGTGGGAAAAAAAAACCCTGTGCTATTGTGTCAAACTGGCACAAACAGGAATCTTTATCTTTGCCCTTCACCTCAGGGGAAAGTTGTTGAGTCTTCTTACCATGGCAGTTAGTGTTAGATCTCGATTTTCCATATGCAGCCTTTATCATGTTTATGGAAGGAAGGATCTTGGTTTATCAATTTTCCCTGAATTAATGAGAAAAGAAAGTACTCATGTTCTTAGGATCATCATAAGTGCCAATTCTACCACTTCCTTCCCCAGAACAACCACCATTTCACTTACAACTAAGATGCCTCAGCATTTTCATTATATCCCTTTATGCTTTAGTGGCCTTCTCCAGTTTGATGGGATCAGATCTTGAATCAGATTACCCATACTCAATAGCATTTAATAGCCCAGGTACAGCTCAACTTTCAGGAACAAATTTTGAAGACAGAAGGTCAAGTAAATATCCCTATGGTGTTTACATCACACCAACATTTTACTCAGTCATCAAGAACAAATTGTGGGGCCCAGCACGGTGGCCTAGCAGCTAAAGTCCTCACCTTGAACGCGCCGGGATCCCATACGATGCCAGTTCTAATCCCGGTAGCCCTGCTTCCCATCCAGCTCCCTGCTTGTGGTCTGGGAAAGCAATTGAGAACGGCCCAAAGTCTTGGGACCCTGCACCCTCATGGGAGACCTGCAGGAAATTCCTGGCTTCTGGCTTCAGATCAGCTCAGCTCCAGCCATTGCGGTCACGTGGGGAGTGAATCATCGGATGGAAGATCTTCCTCTCTGTTTATCTGACTTTGCAATAAAAATAAATGAATCTTTAAGAAAACAAAACAAAACAAAAGAACAAATTGTGACCAATTTAAATTTCAAAGTATAACTGCATACTGCACTGTTTCATATGGACGGTAGAGGTTACACATACATACCTTTAAGGTGAGGTGGATGCTCCTGTTTATTTCATCCAAAATATACAGTCACATTGGAAAAATGACCACAGAGCAGGTACAAGTGAACTACCAGTACAGCTCCCATGATCCTGTGCTCCTGACGACAGAACCCAAAGTAGGGCCCAGGGAGCAGAAGTCTTGTTTCCACAGTGAAGTTTTCTATTCTTGAGGTTTACGTAACAGCTCTAGTAAAACTTAAAATGTGCCCTTAATCCTCCAGGGGGAAAATAGTTTAGAAACTTGAAACCACAGGAGCTCTTAAACCGAACTGAGCGCTAGTGAGTTGGCAGTCTTATATGGGGTAAAAGGCTGAGTTAGAGACTGGATCTCTGCCCAGCTTTATGGCATACCAGGAGACTCTTTCCTGCCTCACACTAACATCAGAAATGCAGCATGGCAATGCATGCTTTTTCTTCTTGTCAACATCAGAAGGTTGCTTTCTGATCACGGAGCTTTTTAGCGAAATTGAAGCCAAACCTCAACTGCTTAGTCTTAAACTTATTAAGTGACTAATACGTTAGTATTGAACTGCACACAACACCAACCCATTCACTCCTTCCACAGCCTTTCTAGAAAGCCTTGTAAGGGAGACGCTTGTGAGGAGAGTCAGGAGGTGTTCATGACCAGACAAAGCCCTGACTGCCGTGTGCATTGCTCTAGGGAAGCACTGTCCTGGGTGCTCCCTCGGTTCACTGCTCCCTGCAGATCGGGGGTGGTGCTGGACTCTGCCACTCCCTCAGCACCTGCATGGCTGCATCACTCCCACACCTGTTCCCAGTCTGCCTAGGAAGCACAGGGGTACGCGCTCTTCAGCCTGCAGGGGATGGGAACCTCAGCGAGGGGAGAAGAGTGCGGTGCTAAGGGATCAACAATTTTGGACACTACAGAGGTCAACATACCAGAACAGCCAGGTGAGACAGACCAGTAACAGGGACACCATCTGTCCCTAAGCGAGAAGCGTTCCAGTAGAGAACGTAGAACAAGACGCGAACGAACTTCCAAAGTGCCAGAACGTGCCAGATTTACCCCCCACCTCAATTATAGGCTTGGAAAACAACACCTTTCCAGCCTTGTTTCAGTAAGATCTTTATTTTCTAGATTTTGTACAAGTCGTTCAACCAGAGCCATACATTTTTATCTTAAGGTCCAAGGGGTTCTATGTAAAAATACTAACAGGAATGTAATGCTTTTAAATAAGAAGTGGAAGAATCTTTATCCTCTTTATTCAAGTCTCCTGAAATGACACACTCCATAAATAAATAAATATATATATAATTTTTCTTTGTAAGCCGAGTTTCTTCCATCAGTCAGTAAACACTCTATTTGGTGCACATTCTCTGTGTACATATATGCTCCCTGTGACCATTTAGGAAACAGGTGCTTGAGTTGGTGAGACTTAAATATTTTCTCACAGCTGATCCAGTGATAATTGCAGTTGAAATAAAACCATATATAAATAAAATATCACTTTTTCTCAAAATGGAAGTATAGAGTTTAAGTCATTGTTTTCTTGAGGACCATAAGGATCCATGTATTGGGTGGAGCATCCTATAAATCATTAGCCTTTTTACCTCCATCTGCACTAAGACTCGCCGCAGAATTCTGCCTGCCCTAA